GTGTAGTATAATTTTCTTCAAATATCTAAGGTTATTTATTTATATTAGGCTTCCCCAAAAACAATTTACTTAAGTAGTCAACATTGCGTATGCATTTTTTTCAAAAAATATCTTCAATAATTCTAAAATTATTATCGTTGGTTTAACGCATTGAAAGTCTTATTTCAATCTATGAATTTCGTTTTAAACATATTAATGATTCTCGACAAATTCTATGGTGGACTTAAGGTGTACCATAGACGTACATATGAGCAAAATAAGTATTTCTTTATTACTAAAATAAGCATTTGTTTTTATAAATAAAAAATTATAAAAATATATTTTATGTGAGAAGGTCCACAAAAATGATACGCACTCAAGGTGCACCAAAGAAATACTCACGATTCTCTCTCTATTAAACAATATGATTAAGTGTCCACTTTGGATATTATAATTTTCTCAGTTAAAAAATGCCTAGAATCAAAATTTTAATTATTTTTAAAATTATCAAATGTTAGACGTTAGAATACACAATAAAAAAAGATGAAAGTAAAGTCAAATGACAATAATAGTTAGAAGGGAGAAGTATTGAGGTAGAAGTCAAAATAAGTAATTTTGATACTTTTTTATACTTTACGTCTATAATAGTCTTTCTCATTTTTAACCTTTTCAATTTGTTCTAACTTAAATGTATTATTATTATTAGTATTCAATGGAAATATTAATATACATAAAAATAAATTAAAAATATATTATCAGTAGAAAAAACTATGATGTTTTTTTACATTGTACTCATTATAATTAATCAAAATACATTAGAAAAAAATTTAAAAATTATTCATCCTAATTATCTTCTTATTTTTCTACTTCGTAATTATATTCTAGTCGCCATATAAGGTATTCCGTATATATTAGGCATATTAATTAGAATTGGATCTTTCTATGTTTTAACATAAAAGTGCCAAGTCATTAAACTCTTCAAAGGTGGCGGATGACTCATAAAAAACTTGCCAAGTAGACCCGCCACATGTCGACATTCTGTGAGCCCGAGTCTCAAATAATATATATAAAGGATAAAGGATATGATATATGATATATGATATATGATGATATGATATGATGATATATGATATATGATGATATGATATGGGGGCAGTTACCCCTAATGGAAACATAAATAGGTTTTTATTTTAAAGAAATCATCATAAATAGGACTATGACATATGAAAAAAGTGAAATTTGCACTAAATAGGACTAAAACATAATGACTTTCCTAATGTAAGACTTAAACTTTTTTATTCCATAAATAGGACTTAATAATGACCTAGTGGGAGGAATAATGTCCAGTAATGATGGACATTTACTTGAATAATGACTACTTCATAATGACCAAAGGTCCTACATTGGGAAATAAAAACATATGGTCCTATATTGGAAAAGTCATTATGTTTTAGTCCTATTTAAGTAAATTTCTCATGAAAAAAACAAAATAAGAGTTCCATTTTTTATTCTCTAAACAGAAGTTCGCACTGTGAAAATGTGGCACTGTACATATGCATTTTACGTAATGTATGTGGTCATGATTAGTAATGTAAATGCATTTTAACTCCTACTTCGTGAATAAAAACATGACACTCCTATTTTAATATACCAGTATTTTGACCCGTGCCATGCACGGGGCTGAACAAAATTTTTTTCAATTCTTTTTTTCATGTATTATTTTTTGTGGATTAAATAAAATAAATTTCTTACATGATTTTTAATACTATATATACATCAACATCAAAATAGAATAAATAATATTTGAAGAATTGAAAGTATATACAAAACAAAGACTTATTAAAATCCAAATTTTTGAAACACTTCAGAGTATACAACATTTTTGGTATGGTTGCAAGAGTTTCTATTGTCATCTAAAATAAACATTTTTAATTATGTATTTTTCTTCACTCGTGAA